TTTCTGATCCAAACATCACAATTGCAACAAATATTCCTCTTATTAGACAGATATAAATCTCTAATCATAAGATTCACTCATTTTAACTTAATTTCACATGGAATTTCACAGCATGCACATAAATGCACAGAGTAAGGGACTAAAAGCATACCAAAAAACATATACGAGGGTCGGGTAATTACTCTCTCTCTCTCTCTCCCTCTCTCTCTCTCTCTCTCTCTGTGCCCCCAAAAAAAAAAAATAAGTTTGGTCCCTCAAACTTGTTTTACCATGTAACAAGATTAGAATTTTCAGTCTTATACCATTGTTCAATTCCTTTATAGATGTTCAATTCCTTTATAGATGTTCAATTCCTTCCTCAGTTTGAACAATTCACAGGTCAATCCGATATTTATCATAGTTTCTCAACAGTTATCAACATATAAAGCAACCCATAGTTCTGTCCAATCATTCATTTTGATGATTCACGTTAGGCATGCAGATTAAAGAAAAAAAAAAACACCATATATCTATTTCATAGAAACATGTGTCGAACAAGATAAGGCTATAGGAGTCCATTATAGGACATTCAAGACATCAAATCCTCAGTAGGCGGGGTTTATAATCACAATTTCTTCCTGTCAATAAATTCCACAGTGTCAATTGCCAAATGCAGAAACACGGTGGAAATCATCCCCTTAAGCACGCAATCCATATATTCCCCATAGCATAGGTCACTTTCTGTCATAATAAAGATATTCTCAACTATGTTCATAGCTAGACCAATCCAGTATTCATAGTTCGTATGCAATTCTCATTAGAGGATGCACGTTCAAACTTTGCGTAGTTAGGTAGTTCTTTGGGTAAATCACATATTGCAAGTCACTCATAAATGAATTGTCAACTAAAATTATATATAGTTTCCAAAGGAAATCAATTATGTGGTTAGATTCAAATCTGATTAGGCATAATTAAATCAGGCATCGGAGCCTACCAAGCAAGGTTCTGCCTAATTAACAAGGTATACTTCATTCCAGCAGTCACAAATCAATCGCTTAGGTACGTAGCCACTAGCTTCACAATTTATTCCTAATATTCCTTTATTTTTGGAAGCATATCAAAGTCATACCGTTATATTGGTTCAAAATCATATGTAATAGTTCTTGTCAAGGTCAAAGCGATAGGAAGAAGAATCCCAATAAACATCATTAATTCCTCATAGCATTACTTCTAAGTGCAGTAACACAAAGAGAACCATGCTCCAAATCGAACAGTTACAGTAATATCAAAGCAAGTACCATATAGTTTTGCGAATTCATGTAGACATACCATTATAGACACCTAGTAATAACATCATAAGTTTGAATCTGAGCAATAGATACAAGTATAACAACCATCATTTTGAGCAAAGGGAGTCATCCAAAGATAAAGTCAGAAATCAAATTCACAATCGTATTTAGTTAATTAGTCATAACAATAAGGTACCACATCCTCCCTTATTAAGCATTTCCTCCTGTTACGGCAAAAGTAATTCAATTCCTTCTTCTTCTTTTTTTTCATTCCTTCAGTATTCTATTGTGCAGATAATTCTCCACTTTCCAACTATAAGGCAGAAGGTCAACCACATTGTTCTGTATCCACAATTTAGAAGTGTAGTGGGTCAACACACAGCCATACAGAAATCATAGACCAGTCATGCGGCTTAGTCGCTTAACATAAGCAGAGTATCCAGTTACTCCCCATGTGTAGGTTCTACTAGGTCCGTTAATAGGGTCATAAATCCCATTACATATACAGCAATCATAATAATCACATCCCTCCATATTCCATAATTTCAAACAAAATATGCAATGATATAACAAAAGAATAATTTGACCAACTAATATCAAAGTTAGTAATTCTCGACAAGAGTAGTTCAATGTGATAGTAAATCAATTTGTAACCACGTAGTGCATATTGTACAAATCTGTATAAACATGCAAGAGGAGGTAAATGCCCAGTACGTATCGTTAACCCATCATCAATATGGAATATCCCCATGTCCATTTGTGTCTACCAAAGTTCACAATGTCATGCAGAACAGTTCACGTTATAGCCTCCAAATAGGCAATAGAGGACTGATTTGCAATATCCAACACTTACATTTTTACACGGAAATATATCACAGAAATGATTTCTCAATCTTAAGTCATGAATATACATAGGCAGGATTTTAGTTCTTGTGGTAAATTATCAGATTACCAATCATTTATTTTCGATTCCAAATTAGTCAATAATTACCTATCTCTTTTACAAGTGTCATATCAACAGATACGTAATATGGGTGGGGTCCTTCATGTCATTCAACCAGTCCTTATAAGAAATCCCGTTTACAGATTATAGATTACACATAAACAAAATAGATTACAGATTATAGATTACAGATTACAGATTCCTTAATTATGAGCAGACACAGTTAGGACCACAGATTCCCATAAACATGTCCCGATTACACATAAACAATACTCATTAAACACCATCAATAATTCCCTAGGTTCATTATCAGAAATCGTCGATAATTTTCTCAGCTCACGAAATCATATTAAGTATATATTGTTTCAAGGTCAATAATCAACTTCCAAACATAGCTAATGTGTAAGCCATTCCCTTATCCATAAAAATAATCAGTAGGAAACAAAATCACAATCAATTAACTCCTTATACGATTCTAAGAGGGGTCACTATATGCATAACTTCTTATCACAGTCGGTCATATTCAACACAATTTAAAATGTCATGCAAAACACATCTTATCAAAATATCTAAGCACAGTAACTTCTCAAATTCACAGGTCTAAACAGGCTATAGCAAGGAAGATGTGACTATGTTATAAAAGTTAAAGCATCGCATATATCATTTCATTTAGTCACTAGATCTTAGGAATATTCAACATTTAGAGTATAATCAATCTATCTAAATAGATGCTAGGAAGCACAATCATGTTGTCATCATTTCCCACAGGTAATTGTCAATCCAAAAACAACAACCAATAATACACATCCCACTTAATCATTGGCATATAAATTGTCTTACCGATCAGCTCGAACCCTCCCTACACTTCCGCAGTGCAACTTTGTTGATTTGACCCCATCTGCATGTCTTGCATCGTCCACCGATCTATTTAAGATAAACAAAGGCAATAGTTCTCATATTTAGTTATTATTTTATTTTTCCGCAATTCATTCCAAATATGTCGTACAATCTTCCTTTTCATTCTGTCTAACCGGGCTGAGGTAGAAGCCTCTGGATCTTCCATCTTTATGCTCACCGTGTTCTGCATAACAATCGATCACAATATACACAAAGGATATACAATAGACATGGATAGTAACCATTGCGATCAGCAGACATTACACATACAAGTATCGTTGCCATCAATCTCTTTCATCTGCACCAAGGATGTCATGCATGATGCCTAAGTCTTTTCTAGACATCCTAAAGCTTAATGGATTCGTGTGTGAGATAGCAACTCGTGCTCTGATACCACTTGTCACGCTCCAAACCCGCCCTTAAAAGTTTAGGCATGACCACTTCAGAAACGGATAAATAATACGATACATACAACATAGGGGGCCTAAAATGGAAGCATTTAATAACATAAAATAATATAAATTAACATCCATCGAGCTCACCTATATGCCAGGATCTCAATGTGCCATTAAACAGTTCCTCATATGATAGACAGATATGCAAGAAGCAGATATTGGCATTCACACAATAACATATATGGGCATACATACAAAACCAGCCCCACACGTGGACTAGACAAAAGATTAAGGACCAAACTAGGGGTCATTAAGGGAACCCCACAAAATACATAAGCATCTCTGCATGGCTTGACCAAGAAGGGATGACCAAAGCTGAACTAAGACCGACCTCCAGGTTGGTTGCCTACAGAAACAGACATAACATAGGGTGAGCAAGGCTTAGCGAATAATAGCACCCAAACAATTTAATGATTAAACTTCAATTGTAATATTTATAACGTAGATAAGTGCAAAGGTCACATAATTAATCTTGTCTTGTAAACATTTTCATAATGGCCTTGGGCCTAATTTTCATACAGAGAGGCTTTAAGCCCAATATCATACAGATCGGCCTCAGGCCCAACAAATCCAACAGATTGGCCTTAGGCCCAGATATTAACAGATTGGCCTCTGGCCCAGATATTAACAGATTGGCCTCTAGCCCACAAATAATATAGAATGGCCTCCGGCCTAGTATTAGCAAAACAGAATAATCCCTGATTCATAAGAATACCATTATATAATAGTGCATATAAATTTCCTATGGTTTATTACAAGTTGACATAGTTGTCTTGCGTATAACATAATAGTAATAATAACTATTAACAGAAGGCACATATATCATCACAGTATAATTAATAGGGACAGAACAGTTCATATCAAAACGGCCTCTGGCCCATCATTGACAAAACAGAATGATTCCAGATATGCAAAGTTATCATTGTTCCATAATGCACATACGTTCCATTTGTTCATCAGAATCAATATAGTTAACTTGCAGATAACAGAACGTTAATATTAACCATTAACAGTAAGCAAAACGTACTACTACAGTACTATTACTCACAGTGATCGGCTTCCAGTAGTAATGGGACGATGTCCTCGTCTCGACCTACAAACACAGTGCACAACACATAATATGAGATTATAACCAATCCTTTATTTATTTTCTTTGATCAAGTAATCACTTAGCCATGGTGGTTCTAAACTCATTAGTCCTCCGTAGGTTATAATCTATGTCTCAGAAGATAGGAGGAATCAATAGGAAAAAGGTTTAGACGAGGAAATAGTACAAATTCGATAACCAGAAAGTGCACAGCTCCCACTAATTTGGGCATATCTATTTCTGTACTTAGAATTTGAGAGTGAGACCACCACCATTGGAAACTAGACTTCCGGGGCTTGATTTTAGGCTCAAGAATCACTCAAAATGGAGTTCGGATGCAAAAGATATGCTTATTCAAAGTCACCAGGTATAAGCTGAAACAGGGTTGGAGCTGCTATATCAATCTCCAATTGAGCTGCTATATCAGTTGTCAAAGCTAAAAATTGACAGAAATGGCAAAAATCAATCTCCAATGGTCTGCTATTTCCCTTGCCAAAGATGGCAGATGCCATATGTGTTCTCAAATATGACAAGTGAAATAGCAGATGCCAACCTTGCCAGATCAGCAAAATCCAACAGAAATTGGCACCAAATTCAGTTGAGAAAACAACAGAATTAATCCAGTAGGGAAGCTATTTTCCAAAATCAAACCCAATTTTTACAATCAAGCAAATTTCTCATGAAGACAGATCGTGTATTTATATATATATGATCAAACCCATGAAGACAGCTTGTATATATATATATGATAAAAATCCAACCCAAAAAATATATATATATATATATATATATGATCAAACCCATGAACCTCTGCTGACTGTATATATACATATATATAAATATGTGATCAAAATCAACCCCAAAACATATATATATATGATCAAACCCATTAAGACATAGCAAACCGTATATATATATGATCAAAATCAAACCCAAAACATATATATATATATATATATGTAATATGTATATATGAAGACAGATATTTTTTATGGAGACCAAAACACATAAAGACAGAATTTTTTGATGGAGATCAAGACAAATCAAAATATATATATATGCAGAGAGATCAAAACATATATATATATATAGATGAAGATCGTACCAGAGACGGAGAGTACACAGATCGGAGGGAGACAGAGTCAAACCAAAGAGAGGGGGTTTCGATCTTGGAGGAGAAGGGGGAGATCGGGTTCCGATCATGGAGGAGAAGGGGTTCCGATCTTGGAGGAGGGGGTTTCGATCTTGGAGGAGAAGAGGAGATCTGGTTCCGATCCTGTGCTCTGTTTGGTTTGTGCTCTGTTTAATTTCGGCTATGGAGGAGAAGACACAGTGAGAATGAGAGGGAGATGAAGAGCTGTGGAGGAGATGAGAGGGAGATGAGAGTGAGAAGAGACTGAGATAGATGTATGGCAAAATAGTGATGGGTCAGTGTAAATAAAAGAGCCGTTTGGGCTCTGTTTGGTTTGTTCAACCAAAAAAAAAAAAAAAAAATTGAAATTATTTTTTACAAGGGCTCTTTAAACGGTTATTTGCCAAACGGTAATAAATTTCATTTCTATAAATTGAAACCTTTCCTTCTCAAATAATTTTTAATTTTTTCAATTTTTAATTAATCAAATAATTAAATTAATCAAATAAATTTTTTCAATTTTTAATTAGCCAACGGTATCGGTCTATAAATTAATCAAATAATTTTTTTTTTCAATTTTTAATTTTTTATATTTGTCTAGTTGGAAATAATATAAATATATAATTTTTTTAACAAACAGGTAAAAAAATGTCACAAAAGACAAAAAAATAAATAAAAATAAAATCACAAAAAACCTATATCCAAACAACACCTACAAAGTTGGAGGGAAAGTTGGTTGAGATTTGCCAAAAATAGCAAACAACCATTGGAGCACCATTGCTATAATTTGGCAAAATAATACTATTCATTGTCAAATTATAGCAATAGCAACCCCAATATAGCAACAACCATTGGAGACGCTCTTACATGTGATAGCTATTGGGTGGAAAGGGATGACAATTATTGGGCGAGAATGATATTCTTGAAAAAGTAGAGAACTTGACAGTGGCTAACACCAATTTAAGGGGTTGTTTAGGGTGTCCTAACTAAGTGCGCTTTTTGTCTTTTTGGACTAAAAAATTGAGGAAGAAAATATGGATGTTTGGGTTAACTTTTTTACTTTTTATGGAAAAATGTGTAATTAAAAATTGTAAAAATTGATTTGTATGGAAAAATTAGGATTGAGAATTGTGCAGCCGTAATTGTTGACTTTTGGTGAATAGTGTTAACTTTTTAACTTTTTGAGTAATTTTTTGACTTTTTAACTTTTTTTCAATATGCCAAACTTGGCCTAAATATAATAGAATAAATATACTAGAAAAGTGAGCATTGAAATCAGCAATTATAGAATCCAGTTTGTGGTTAAAATGAAAGGTAGTTCGGAAATAAAAAAGGATTATTTACTTGGAGATTCTTAAATTATTAAGAAATATTATTTCAACTTTTTGAACTATAAAAATATATAAATGGATCTCCTAAATTATTAGCGTGTTTCACTTTGACCCTATCTATTATTGCATTGACATTTTTTAGACGAAAATACTCTTTAACACTATATAACACACTCAAGAACACTTCTTTTTAATTTTAGTCATTTTTTTTGTTTTATTATTATTTTTAAATATTTTTTTCTATAAAACATATTTATAAAGAAAATTGAAAAAAATAATAATAAAACAATAATAATGAATTAATGCTCATATTTAAAAAAAATAAAAATTAATAATAATAAAATTGTAAATATATAGAATGTCGAAGGGTATTTTCGTCTAAAAATATTTAAAAGTTTGGTTTAACTCACGATGCAATAATAGAAAGGGTTAAAGTGAAACATGTCAAAAATTTAGGAGATCCATTTGTACAATTTTATAGTTTAATCAAAGTGATATTTCTCAATAGTTTAAAATGTCTATGTAAATAATCCAATAAAAAAAGTTATGACAAAAGTTTTCAAGATTAATATAGATATGAGTTCCTAATTTTGTGCCCCTAATTTCACCTCTAATGACGTGGCCTACTCTATTATAAAGCGATCCAACACTCCTCTCCCTCTTATTTTTAGCCTTTTTAATTTCATAGCATTAGAGATAAAATTGGAGGAACAAAATTAAAGGGATAAATCATTATACGATATACTCCTATGCCTCACCTTTTTCCCTTTTCAAAAACAAAGTAAAAAATTTATTTTTTTTCTCATGTAATTCACTGCAAGTTTCCAAGTGTACTGATTAGAGAAATGCTAAATTTTTGAAGTTGAACTCATGCAGTATAACCCCCCATCAGGTAGCATACAAGAAAAGCTATATATATATTTTTAATACCAAATAAAACTTTCTTCAAAATTTGTAAAGAAGCCTTGATGAATGACCTTGAAGCCATGGCATACATTTGATTCAACAAATGAATTAGTAGCTAGTCTTTCATGAGTGAAGGAAATTACTACTACCTCTAAAGACATCAATTTGCCATATAGTGAAATGGTAGAACTTACCACAAATTCACGATGCCATTTCTTGATTTTGTGTGTTTGCTTTGTTCATCCAAACACCATTCTCATCACACAGGAAAGAAATGAGAGCGGAACATTCTACTTTCTTGATGTAGATCACATTGGGAAATAATCTCCTAAGGTCAATCCAAGGCATCTGGAAGTCACTCAAGTACTTTAATTGCAACATCTCAATTGTGGTAGTTGCTATTTGGTTTAGATGACACAATAGTCCTCCTCTAATGTGGAGTTTCTTCAAGTTCTTCAGATTGCCAGACAACAACCAATTGGGTGTAACCATTTCAGGGAAACACTCAAGCTCTAGTTTTTGCAATGAGAAAGGAAGTTCCGTCTGGATAGGAAGTTCCAAATCATGTTGCTCGGTGAACGATCCTGTCAGTGCTCTTGTTAGATTGGCACGTGGTTGTGGCTGTGGTTGTGGTTGTGCTTACTTAGATGTGTCGTCTCTTTTGCCTTGTAAAATGCATCCTAGCCAGGATATTTTTAACTTCTGCAAAGTTTTTAATCTTTGTAAATGACGGAGCTGCTTACTTGTTGGGAATTCTTTCATGTTGGTGTGTAGGCTCAATTTTCTCAACTTTGACAATTTTGTCAAATCATCGATAGTACATGAGTGTTTGTCATCGGAATCTCCAATTATAAATCCCTTAAGTACTTGGAGTTCTAATAGCGAACCAAGTCCCTTAGGCATGCGATCTAAAAAGTAACACTTAGATATGTCCAAGTGTGTCAAACTCTTAAGTAAACCAATCCAATCTGGAACCACCTCAAGATTGTGACAGGATCTAAGATCTAGGATCTTGAGAGTAGTCATTTCTGAAATGAATTGGGGAAGCTCTGTAATTAAAGAAATTCCTCGAAGACTAAGAAATTGCAACTGTTTCATATTCTTCAATGCATTGAGAATTTTGATGTCTGCGACTTCAATGTGATACGTGACTGAGTTCTGCCACCTTCCCAAGTAAACAATTTTAAAATGGGTGAACTCCGAAAATGGTTCAAACCTGTCATTAATAATAGCCTCACCAACATTGAGAAAGCATGGATGCTCATACCGAGCATATTCAGTAACAAATCGAGTATCCGAATCCATAGTCCACACTGGTCTAAAGTAAAACTTCTTTAAAGTCAAATGAATGAAAGGGCGCATCCTCTAGCTATCCACAACCAAGCCAGAATTTTTGTAGATAGGCTCGATGAAGCCCTTTGCAGTAAGCTCATCCAACAACTCGTTGCCACAATCCTCTGCTATCTTCGTCACCGCAATTTCTTCTTCTGTCTTTCGGTCGATTGAGATTGTGGGTACAAGTCCCTCTCCAATCCACCAGTAAATCATAAGCCTTTTCTTTATAGTAACCATTTCTGGGAACATCAAGAAAAATTCCAAGCAATATTGTAGTTTCACGGGGAGGCGATGGAAAGATACATCGACATGTTGAAATGCAGTGGTGTGATCAAACTTTGGGTCCTTGTACAAGCTGTGAAAATCACCGGCCTTGTTTTCATCGGCTTGGTAGTTGTTGGTGCTACTGTTAATGGATCCATCAAACCATGGATTCCGACGTGGTTTGGAATAATCATCGTATTGGACTTTAATAAACTTTAAGGGAATCTGGGATTTCAACTTCTTTACGGCCTTTTTCAATTCACCAAGTTCTCGTGTATCACTCCATCCTTTTCTTGTTTTGAGCTCCTCAAATTTCTCACAGGCCTTGTTGATTTGCACATTCATATGATCTATGTACTTATGTACCTCTACCATGGCCTCTTTCATGAAAATAAGATCTCGACCAATCATGTTAGTGAGTGCAGGATCTCCACCTTAATAGTCGTCATTATTTGTGGTGGTGGTGGTAGTAGCTTTGTGGTGGTCATTGTCAAGTGGATTTGGTTGGGAGATACAGCAGCCCATGGCTTTCACTACCAAAAGGGTGTGTTGAAGTCTTGGCTAGAGAGAGAGAGACTGAACACGTTTTTTCTTTGATGATCAGGGTTTCAAAGAGAGATGGATCCTCAATGAGAGGCAAATGAGAGAGAAGAAACGTTGTGAAACCATAAGAGAGAGAGAGAGAGAGAGAGAGAGAGAGAGATGAAGTGTGTGTGTGTGAGAGAGGAAGAGAGAGAAAGACACCAAGTGAGACTGAGAAAAGGTGCAGAAGAGATAACGAAGGAAGGGTGGCCGACAGATGTTGGAAATCTACCAAGACAACAAGGGTTTGGCATTGGTCCAGTCCAAGATCGAATTGGACCGTGCTGTTGGGCCTGTGGGGACCCACCACAGGTCCCATTTTAAAAATTTGAACCGTTGAATGTGTAGAACTCGTCGAGTACTATATGCTTGTAAAAAAACATGTTGATCGGATATCGATAGCTATGTGATCAAATCAGTTTTGTATAAAAAAAAATGAACGATGAATAAATTAACGGTTAAAAAAAACTGTTTTGATCACATAGCCATCGATATCTAATAAACGTGATTTTTTATAAACATATAGTACTCGACGAGTTCTACACATTCAACGGTTCAGATTTTCAAAACAAGACCCGTGGTGGACCCTCATGGGCCCAACAACACAGTCCAGTCCGATTGTGGACTGGACCAAAGCCAGACCCTGACAACAATTGATGAGGTGCGGGAAAGAAATATGGCCCACCAGCCGGGACCAGGTTGTTGAAACCGCGTTCTCTCGGCAAGTTTTTAGATCATGCTTAAATATAAATTTGAGATAACTTGAGGCGTGGAGTTTATTATGAGTTTCGTTTTAATTTATAGAGTTTATTATGAGTTTTGTTTTAATGATTTAAATTATTTATTTTGTAAGTTTTTCTTATATATTATTTACAAAAAAAATTTAAGTCAATCCGATAATTACGATATTTTTATTTTATTGTATTTGTTTTAAAAAATAAATGGCCTATTTTTAAAATTAAAAAAAAAAAAACATACTTGTTTCTTTTTTCAAAAATAAAAGTGATAAAATAAAAATATTACAATTATCGGTTCAGCTTAAATTTTTTTTTACATAAATAATATATATAGAGAATCTTACAAATTAAACAATTAGGATCATTGAAATAGAACCGTAATGGATTCCATGGAGAAGCCCAACCCTTCTTTTAACAATGTGGAGGAAATTTCACAGTCTTTCGTGAGAGATGGAAATTACTATATCAACTCTCAAGATATCAATTTGTCATATAGTGAAATCGTAAAACTGTAAATTCAGGATGCAATTTCTTGATTTTGTGAGTTTGTTTTGTGTATTCAAATACCATTCTCATCACACGGGAAGTAAGTGAGAGCGAGGCGTTCTACTTTCTCCAAGTAAATCAAATTGGCAAATGATGTACTGTGTTCCATCCAACTTATCTCTAAGTCACTCGAGTACTTCAATTGCAGCGTCTCAACTGTGGTAGCAGCTATTGCACCTAGATAACACAATAGCCCTCATCTATTGTAGATTTTTATTTTTATTTTTTCAAATTTTTTAGAATTAAAGACTACAACCAACTAGGTGTCATGATCTCATGGAAACACTTAAGCTCCAGTTTCTGCAATGAGGAAGGAAATTCAAATTGGAGAGGAAGTTCAGAATCATACTGTTCAGTGAATGATCTTGTCAATGCTTCTGTCAACTTGGCGCATAGTTGCAGTTGTGGTCATACTTGCTTATGTGTGCTTTTTGTTTCACCTCATAAAATGCATCGTGTCCATGATATCTTCAACTTTTGCACGGTTTTTAATCTTTGTCAATGATGGAGCTGCTTATTTGTTGGAAATTCTTTCACACTTGTGTACATGCTCAATTTTTTTTAGCTTTGGCAATTTTGTCAAATCATTAATAGTACGTGGAAACTTTTTGTTCTCAGAATCTGGAATGATAAATCCCTTTAGGACTTGGAGTTCTGATAGTAAACCAAGCCCCTTTGGCATGTGATCCAAAAAGTAACACTCAAATATGTCCAAGTGTGTCAAACTTTTTGTTAGACTTATTTATTTTGATGATTTATTTAATTATGTTTTAATTTATTTGAAAAAGAAAAATAGAATCCAAAATTTATTTTGATGATTATATTTTAATTTATTTGAAAAAGAAAAATATAATCAAAATTTATTTTGTCCCATTATTTCTCACCTAAACCTTTATCCTAAATGTTGTTAGAATGTATTTAATATTTGATTAAATCAGGAGTTCAAACAGTCCAAAACAGAGGTTCAAATAGCTCAGAGCAGCAGCAGTTCAAAAGGTTCAAGTGGAAGATATTCAAATTTGCAATGATGGAGTGGAAGATATTGAAATTGGTAATGATAGAAATACAACGGCTATAAATGGCTATAAATTCAAATGACTACAATGGCTATAAACGGCTATAAATTCAAATGCATACAACAACTATAATTTTTATTATATATACCAAAACCTCTAATGTAAACAAGTTACAAAAAAAATCTGAAAATATTCTTTGATTTATAATCACTCACATTTATTCTCAGAAATTATACACTGAGCCTTATAACATTAAGCTCATCTTTCCTATGTGAGATTTACAGAAAAATCAAAGTTTCATTTTATATATCTATCTTTGAGAGATATTTATTGTAAGCTTTCTTTGAAAGCAAAAATACCATTTCATCTTGTAAAAGTGTTGCAAACACTGTGTTCTTGAAATCTTGAGAGTGATTGTGAATCACCTAAGATTTGTAAGGGTTTGGGCTTGTGAAGCCTATGTAAAATCCGTGGAGGATTGCTCTATTTGTAAAGAGGTTGCTAGCACCCTCGTGAAGCAAGAGCATAGTGGAAAATCTCAAGTGAAGCTTGAGGAGTGGACATAGGCCGAGTTGAAGCCGAACCACTATAAATTTGTTTGCCTCTCGCTCCCTTATCTCTTTATTTTATTTAAATTGCTGTAGCTATATTTCATATTTTCACTGTGTTAAAATCATTAACTGACATAGTTGTTAAAACACTTGTTTTAATTATTTTTATTTCATTAACTATATTTATCTATTATGCTAGTCATAATTTTTATTAGGGTATTATTAATTTTTAATTGTAAAAACCTAATTCAACCCCCTCTTACGTTGTCTTTTGGGTAACAATTGGTATCAAAGCCTAGACTCTTACTTTAGATTGAACCATCTAAGAGTTTCAATCCATGGCAAGCTTAGATAGCACTAGCACTACTGAAGGACAAGCCACCAATAGGCCATCATTATTTGACGGAAACAACTAGAGTCATTGGAAAGATAAGATAACCCTATACCTACAAACCACTAATTATGCTATGTGAATTATTATCACCAAAGGTCTAAAAATTCCTACCAAATTAGTAGACAATATTAGTGTACCTAAAACTGAAGATGAATGTGATGGGAGGGATCACAAATTATTGCAAGCCAATGCTAAAGCCAAACTCACCCTTGTTTGTGGATTAGACTCTAAGGAGTATAATAGAATTTCAAGTTATGATTCGGAAAAAAAAATTTGGGACAAACTTGAAGTAACTTATGAAGGTACAAATCAAGTAAAGGAATCTCGTATTGATATGCTTGTTTATAGTTATGAATTGTTTAAAATGAACTCTGATGAATCTATTTCAAGTATGTTTACTAAATTTACTGAAATTGTAAACTCTTTGAAATCTCTCGGCAAATCTTATACTAACAGTGAGTTGGTAAGAAAAATTCTTAGGTGCTTACCAAAGAATTGGAAAGCAAAGGTCACCGCCATTATAGAAGCCAAAGATCTCTCCACACTTGGATTGGATGAGCTTATGGGTTCCCTTATGACTCATGAGATCACCATGAAAGGACATGAGGATCATAAAATTCCTCCCTCAGTACCTTCCTTCGTTAGTAGCTTTTTCCATCGCATTTCTTATTGATGCCATTGTCTTTCCTCATCCAAACACCATTCTGATCACATAGAAAGGAGACATTCTACTTTCTCCAAGTAAATCAAATTGGAAAATAACATCATAATGTCTTTCCAAGGCATCTCTAAGTTACTCAAGTACTTTAACTGTAATATTTCAATTGTGGTAGCTACTATTTCGTCCAGATTACACACTAGTCCTCTTCTGATGTAAAGT